CCAATTTGAAATTGAGAATACTTATCGACACCAATGGCATCGAAATGTATGCCGATGGTGGACTAACAAGTATGAGTGCTATTTTCTTCTCTGAAGATGGCATTGCATCTAAAATGAGCGTTCAAGTTCACTCGCCCACAAATTCGTCTATGATTCAGTTGAAAAAACTGAATGTGTATGAGATGAAAAGCATGTGGCACAATGAAAACAAAAAATGAGGTTGTTAGACGCAATCGTCAATGCCTCTATTATTAATTGCTTCGGTTGTTGCTATCTTTTTGAAATGGCAATAGTAATAATACGTATTTTTTTAATGTTAATATTTTGCCGTTTGCTCGTCACCACATAGAAATAATAATAAACTTTAACACACTTTATTTGATCAATAAATCACAAAAAAAAATAATTGATTTGAATAATCCTCTGAAATTATGAACAAAAATACTGATGAAAATATCCATCTGGTATTACTAGGCATCGCCGTCATATGTGACGAAGAAATTAAAATGATTGATAATCGGACGATTCCATATGATTAAACAAAACGAAATTGGATGATTTCGTCACGTGATCATTTCATTCTTCATTTTTTTTTGACAGATACTAGTACCCAAAGAACCTATTATAATCTTTTTTTTTATTCATCCATTTTTTGAATAACCAAATCAGGTATACCATTTCGTTGGGATGGTACCAAAAATGTAATTTAAATTATGCCAGAGAATTCAAGCGTAGTAAGTATACCATGGTTGTCAATTAATCGGAATAAAAAAGAATTGAATGTGGAAATACAACGACAAGAACAACAAATACAACGCCGTATATTGAACCTCAACAATAGCGATGTTTTTTTCGTCTCAATTTATTTTAGTGAGTTTGAAAATGATGACTAGTATTCGGTTTTTATCAGTTTTTGTATCTATAAAGAGCGAATAGATACAAATAATTGAGAAAAACAGCATTATATTGAGATATTTTCAGCCAGATATCGTCAGGAGCTGAAATTGAGTGAAAACAATAGAAGTGATTGTTATGGCTACACTTACTATACATTGCTACAATCACTTTTATTGTTTTCACTCCATTTCAGCTCCTTACGATATCTGGCTGAGCTGATTCATCTTGCTGAAATTATCTCAATATAAAGTCTGGACAAAAAAATGTTGGCACTGATTCATACTACGTTCAAGGGTACAAATCGCATTGATATAAAATATTCCATGATAGATTGTCATCTGTTATAACATAATTGCCAAAAAATATATATATTTGATTTACTACTTGTTACTACCGCATTTGATAATGCATCTTTCCCCTCGAATAAGAAAAGAAAAAACAATGATAACATATGAATGACCTGATATGACAATGTGATGAATTCAGTCAGTGAAAGTATGTCAAACAGTATGTATGATCTTTCACAAATCACATCGATACCAGAGTGAAGAACAAATGAAGGTGATATTATTATACCGATAAGAATGAATTTTGAATAAAGTCACCGTTTTGAATGCATGACATGATTTAGTCAATATTCATCTCCTTTTACAATCGCATTATATTGGACTTTTGCTAAAAAAATATTTATTCAAATTTTAATTTCATTGAAAGTTTTTAATTTTTTTCGTGTTCAATTCAACAATTAAAATATACATTTTCGATTTCAAATAATTTTCGTCGAACCGTTTAATGCGAATTATTGTTTTTTTTTTATATATATACAGTGAATCTAATTTTTTTGATAGACAAAATAACAAGCAAAGTAAGCAGAGAAACTCTCCACTAACATAGGATTCATATACGAATGGCGTGTGAGTGGAGTATGTCATGCAAAATTTTGTCTACCAAAAATATTAGATTCACTGTATATATTTTTTATTGAATGTTTGTTTCAATTTCAGCAACGCAGAAGCGTGTAATTGATTAAATATTTAAATGATGCAGACTTTCGTTTGTGTGGCATTATTATGCGTTGCAGCGAGTGCATATCCATCTGATGATAGTGTAAAAAATAAAGCCGACAGCGATAGACCCAAATTGGATTGGTGGGAAAATGGTGTGTTTTATCAAATTTATCCGCGGTCGTTTAAAGACAGTGACGGCGATGGTATTGGGGATATTCGTGGTATCATTCAAGGATTGGATTACTTGCAAGAATTGGGCATTGACTGCGCTTGGCTATCGCCGATTTTTAAAGTGAGAAATGGAAAAGTTTTTACTGTAAAAAGCTATTTGTACATTATTATTTTTTAAACAGAGCCCTATGGTAGATTTTGGTTATGATATTGAAGATTTCTATGCAATCGATCCAATGTTTGGGACTATCGAAGATTTAGAAGAGCTATTCGTTGAGGCCAAAAAGCGAAATATTAAAATTATTTTGGATTTCGTGCCAAATCACACTTCCGATAAATGTGAATGGTTTAAAAAGTCAGTGAAACGTGAACCTGGTTACGAAAACTTTTACATTTGGGCCGATGGAAAAAACAATAACAAAGATCCACCAAATAACTGGTTGTCTATGTTCTATGGTACCGCATGGACATTCAATGAAGAGCGAAACCAGTGGTTCTATCATGCGTTTGGTAACTTTCACAATAAATTTACATTAGAAAATGATTTCAAATACAAAATTGATTTTCGATGATTTTATAGCAAAAGAACAACCCGAACTAAATTTCCGGAATGAAGCTGTAGTTGAACGGATGATTGATGTTTTAAAATTTTGGCTTGACAAGGGTGCTGATGGTTTTCGTATTGATGCACCCAACTTTTTGTATGAAGACAAAGATTTGCGCGACGAACCGTTGAGTAATTTTACAACTGATCCTAACAATCTTTTCTACTTGACACATGAAAACACACAAAGTTTGGATGAAGTGTATGACATGTTGCATAAATTCCGCAAAACTCTTAAAACGTTCGAAAGTAAAAATAAAGATCAACTCATTTTGATGACTGAAGCTTATGTGAACGCCACCGAATATGTAAAATATTTTGGAAGTGATAAAAGAATGGGAGTGCACATTCCATTCAACTTTGTTCTGATTGAAGACATGCACAGAAAGTCAACGCCTGAAGATATTAAAAATATTATCGATAAAAGAATAGCAAGTGTACCAGCGGGCACCAGACTTAATTGGGTCATGGGCAACCATGATCGTCCACGTATTAGTTCTCGATATGGCGAACAAAGAATCGATGGTTCTTTAACTTTGGTTATGACATTACCAGGCATTGCTTGTACATATTATGGCGAAGAAATCGGAATGGTTGATAATCGAACGATTTCATATAATGAAACGTTGGATCCACAGGCATGTAATTTCAAACCAAATGCAACAAATTGGATGGACCAGTCACGTGATCCACAGCGTAACAGATGTGTATATTTTTTAATCGTTTTCAGTTGAATAACGTTCGATTTTCATTTCAGGTACGCCTTTTCAATGGGATGGTACAAAAAAATTTGCTGGTTTTATGCCAGAGAATGCAACCAGTAAACCATGGTTGCCAATCAATCAGAACTACAAAGAGTTGAACGTGGAAATACAACGGAAAATACCACGCAGTACATTGAACTTCTACAAACAATTGATACAAATTCGTAAGAGAGACACGTTTGCATACGGTTCATACACCTCGCAAGTTTTCAACGAAAATGTTTTCGCATACGT